CAGACCACACGGACGAGACAACATCTGAAGGAAAGTAATGAGGAGTTAACCAACCTGCACACAATGGGAACTGATGCAGAACTTGACCTGCAGCCTTAATGATTCATTGAGACCCTTTCCCCTTTTCCCCTTTAAAAACGATCATGGCTGAGCAGAATCTTGGGAGTTGCTTTTGGGATACAAGTCTGACTTCTCCCCAGATTGCTGGCCTTCTGATTAAAGCAAACTGTCCTTTCTACCAACACTTGCCTCTAGAGTATTGGCTTTCAAGCAGGGAGCATCGAGACCTGAGCTGGGTAACATGTATACTGTCTGAATTTACAAAGAATTATTAGAATCTATGAGCAAATTAGATAACTGCAGTGTAAGCCCTGGCTGTTTGTTCGTTTGTTTTGTAACGCTAGTGCTTGACTTAAGCTTTCTTTGCCCAGGCATCCATGTCAAAGAGGCACCCACTTCAAAGACAATAAACACATTGCCAGCCAGGGGACTAGGTAAAGAGCCAAGCCACTTCCTCCTACTGAAGCTCCTTTATTTTAGAGATCTTCACTGATTTCAATAACTGACCATTTCAGCTACTTGTTTTTATCTCTTCCCACACTTTATTTTAACATTTTTCATTGATTTATAACCATTTTAAAATGTTGTGTCAAATCCCAGTGTAACGTCCCACACTTTAAATTCCGGCTCTTATGTTTTAAATTCACCAGCAAAGGGTGAGCCCAAATCCTAGGTCCCCACCAACCACTTCAGTAAAAGCAGAACCCCAAGCCCATGTGCTCTCTCTCTTTTCTCTTTGTGACTTCACTGTGTGGCCCCAAGTGAACTGTGTCATTTCCAGGTCTTATAAGTAATAAAACTTTATTTTCTTCAAAGTTTCCTGATAGTTATTGCTGAAGGGCACCTTATCATCACAATAAGAAGTGTAACTGAGAAAGAGCCTATGGGGCCTTCCCAGGACACCCCTTCCGGCCATGTCATCTGTTTCAGTTCCTCTCTGAAGTACTTAGATAACAGTATCTGATGCACATTCCCTGTGTTGTTTTGCAGATGCTAGAACCCCCAGCAAATTGAGGAAGTTAGGTACCTGATGACTAAGCGCACAGTAGACCTCAGACCTACTGGGGACTGAGAATGGATATGACAATCACCCTGCTACCTCACCATCAGCCCATCAGAGATTTGTGCAAGAGCTGGTAACATACCCTGAGAATTCCCTCCCTCACTTTGTCTTTAAAAAAATGCCTTCCTGGAGCCCACTGGGCAGTTCAGGTGTTTTGAGCACTAGCTGCCCTGATCTCCTTGCCTGGCACCTTATAATAAACACTACACTTTCCTTTACCACAAGCTGATGTCAGTAGACTGGCTTTACTAGGGGAGGGGAAGCAGACCCAAGTCTCGTTCAGTAACGGAAACGCAAGGGCCAGTCCTGCCACAACACTGGTTATTGATAGGCTGAGACCAGCACAAAACAATAACCTAGATGAAATAGACAAATTGCCACAGCCACACACACTACACAAGTAACTGAAGAAGAAGGAGAAAGTCTGAAGAGATCTACAACTAGTAAGAAGATTGAATGGGAAATCAAAACTTCCCAACATGAAAAGCCCAGATCAGAATGCTACCAACCATTTACGGAAGAATTGACACAAATTCTTCCGTAAACTCTTTCAAAAAATAGAACAGGAAGAAGCACTTCCTAAATAGTTCTATGAGGCCACTGTTAACCGGAAAACAAAACCATAGACCAACATCTC